AGCGGCACGGCGGGAGGTGAGCTGGGGGGTGGAGCGGCCGCTGAGGGGGGGGATGAGCTGGCCAGGGACAGGGCCGTCAGTGAGGTGGGGATGGAAGCCCTTTTGCAGAGCTGGGTGAGGTTGAGGCCTTCCATGCTGCCACTTGTGACGCGGGTCTCCAACTCCTCCGCGCGGAGCTCAGTGGACTCTTTCTCCTCTTGGATCATCCTGTGGGAGCAGCAGAGCTCAGGGCACACAGCTCCCCACCTTTCTGGGGAGTCATCTCACACCACTCACCCACGGGATCTCCCTACCCCAGGGAAATGCACCTTGGGGTTCTGACTCAAGACTCCGATCATCAGGAATGGCAGCAAAATCCATCAGGATACACATAAGCCAGAGCTGAGACACACCAGACTTCTTTAAATATTCATGGGGGACTTTTTCTAAAAATAATAATCCTTTCTGAGCCAGCACTGGAGCATCTGAGGGACAGGGACCCACATGTAGGAAGGACCAAGCCCTGTGGCTGGATATCCTGGAGCCATTTTCCCATCTGGAGCTGGACCAAGACCTCTACTGTAGGGTCTCAGAGCCTCCTCCCACTGCCTGGCAGCTTGTTGCTCCCGCAGAGACATTTCAGAGCAAGGCAGGGGGGTGTCTGGCCATGGTCCACTACCTGATCTCCTCATTGATGGCATCCAGCTGCTCCTGGAGCATCATGGCCAAGGTCTGGGCATCCGAGTGCCCACCAGGAGAGAGCACATCCATGGAGCTGAAGTCCTCATCCACATCAGAGATCTCAGGGTCACTGTCGAAGGCGTGAGGCCCCGCGGCCAGGATGCTGCCTGCCTGGGCCTGCTCCCAGTCCTAGAGGAACAAGGTCTACTGGTCCCACATGGCACTCCCTTGTCTCCAAAAGCCAAACTGGAGGTCTCCACACAACAGTCACACCTCAGCAAAACCCCAGTGGGGAAACCCTTCCTACCATGTCACCCACATCCACGCACCAGGTTAAAGAAATCACCCCATGTCCCCAAATCAGGGACAGGTGAGACCGGCATGCAAGGCAGGAGGAGACCCCAATTCCAACTCTGACCCCGTGCAGGCATGAGGATGGATTACCTTGGCTGGCTCCTCTCGCCGGGTGGCGAATCGGCCCTTCTGTGCCCGAGGCAGGCCCGGGGCTGTCCCAAAGGGCTCAGTGGGGGCATGGACCACGGTGCTTAGAGGGAAGCGCAGGTCTGTGGTGCTGCCCATGTGTGACCTGGGGAGAAAGAGTCCTGCTGGGGACATGGAAGGAAGGAGCACCATGGAAAGATGCCCCTGTCCCTGGGCTGCTCCCCTTGCAGACCAGGCTAGCTCAGGACAGAGGAGGATGAGCCCACTATGGGACACCCACCCCAGCGATGCCTGCCTGCTCTGCAGGAAATGATGCAAAACCAGGCTCCGGAAAAAGATGCCCCATTGCCCCACACTGGCCCTGGACTCACAGACTGTAGGGAAGTTCAGCCCTGGACCGAAATCACCCTACGCAGTGGGTCAGCTGTGAACCCGTGGGCTGAACAGTCCCCTCCTGTCCTCCCCTCTCGAGAACACCTTGCACCTCCCAACACATATTGCATGTCTTGTGCCCGTCTTCTCCACCCCCATGGAACAGAACAGGAGCCAGGAGGGAGCTTTTCTCCTTCTTATGTTTTCTTCAACATTTGCAGTTGAAGATTAGTAAAATCACATTTGAAACGGATCTTCCAGGTGTGGGGATATGAGCACTGGGATCTCCCAGCAGAAATCGTCTGGGACTTCGTCTGCCTCCTCCATGCTCAGGCTGGTGCTTGTGAGCAGGACCCCATGCCTGGCAGAGCAACGCAGTGGCTGCTGTGGGCACTGGGTCACTTTTTGCTGCTCGTGGTACTCATTGCATATCTCCACATTGCCCGTCTGCTCCTCCCGGCCCTGAAGACACAACCATGCAGCTGAGCAAAGCGCCTTCCCAGAGCACCGAGTCGTTACTCCCTGTACGCATTGCCGCAGGAGGCATGCGGGCTTCTGATTTCAGGTGACAAAAGCAGTTGTCTGAGGCAGATCGGTGTTTTCCCCCAGAGTGGGTCTGGTTTGCGGTGGAGATACAGATCCAGCCTCCCCACCCCAGCATCCTACCCAGCCCAGACAAAACCGCTAACACGAGCAGCTTGGTTTGGCGTCAGCTTGGTGTTTGCAGACAAAGGCACAACCCAAGTTTCAAGGGGATTTAAGCTGCGGAGCCACGGACAAGCTGCTCCGGAGCTAAAAACAGATAAAGGCGCCTTAGACAAAAGCTGACATTTCAGCTGGGGGATTATTCTGGCCTCTGTAACTCAAGCTTTCTGCTGATTTCTCCTCCAAGAAATTTAAAAAAATTGTCCATCCTGTTCCTACAGACCCATATGAGGTCCCACACATGCTCCAGACACTCCTCTGGCACTCAGTTGTCCGTTATCCTCACAAGCTCTTCCTCACCCTCCCCATTTCTTCTCTCCACGACAGATAAGGGGCCTCCACACCCTGCCCTCTCTGCCACAGCTGCTGGCAGATTTGACGCCAGTTACACTGGCTCCTTTCCATCTTTTCCAACCTTCCTGAGAGGTGAATTTTCTCCACTGGCACTCACTCTCACTGATCCCACACTGCCTCTAACCCACGTTGAAAGTGCCCAGGAGAGCATGTGGTCTCCCAGGTGTCTGCAGCACCGCGGTGGGGTGCACGTTGTGCTAACACCCTCCTTTTCTGACCCCCTGGTTTCTGGCAGCGGTGCTGGGTACCCCAATCAGTGCTGACGGCTGAGACCCGACAGATTCACCTCCCCTCCTGGTGTGCTGGGCGGTGACCTCCCCATCTCCCAGCTGACTTTAAATGAAAGGGTGTGGGAGCACATTGTAGGAGGGGAAAAAATGGGGGGTACATTCTCCTTTGCTTGCAACACCACAAAAGAGTCCTCCCTTTCCACCAGCCTACACCCAGCACACCACAGGCGGAAAGGCATTTGGTGAATATCCAGCTTTCACAGAAAATTAAGCCTAAATGTAGAAAAAGAAATGATGCTCAGGAGTTTTTTTGCCCTTAGAAGAGCATATTTTCAGCCATCCTGTTGGGCTCTGCTATTCTCAGCAGTCTGTGCCACACCCCAGCACAAATCCATGGGGGACAGCACAACTGGAGCTGACCCTGCTGCAATGAACCACCCTGCAGCCCTGCACTGGGGCTTGGTGACCCCAGAAATGCCTGGTGCCAACATCATTTTGGGACCCTAAAAGCAAAATGTCCCAAAGCTGTGGGTGCAGGATGAAAGCAGAGGGCGCACAGGCTGGCAGGGTTTTGGCTGGCAGCCCTTACCTCGCATGCACACTCTCCACGAACGTCCCACTTCTGGTCTTGAGCTGATCAACCTCCAGCCGCAGTTTGTCGATCTCATCGGACAATCGTCGCTGTTCAGGGCGAGAAAAGAGGCAGGCAGAGGTTGATTTCACTCTGAAGAGCAGCAGGTTTGGCACAATGCACATCCTTAGCTATTCCCAGGTTTATATTCCCTTTAAAAATCCCATCCCAGGTTTAAAGCACCTTTGACACACCGGGCAAGAAACAGCTCATGCAGGCAACAGTGAATGACGATGCAGGGGCGATGCCGTGAAGGGAGGGAGTGATGATGAGCCAGAGAGACACACACACAAGTGTGTTCGAAGCGATGCTGGTTTGAGAGATGGAGGAAAATCCGTCCCACTGGTTGTTCTGGTTTTGCTCCAGGCTGCACGTGCCTTGGCAAAGGGCTGGCAGTGAGGGACCCGCTAGTCACATTTGATGCTGGCCCTGTCCCTCCTGCTGCCAGCCCAGTCCTCATCGTGAACCTGTGCCTGCACATCGGGAACCTCTGTCTCCACTAAGTGGCTGGGCTGTGCTGTGGGAGATGCGAAGGGGAGGCTGCAGGCAGGGGAGACAGGATCCTCCAGGCACATCAGGATCCAGTCCTGTGGGCAAACAGGCTGATCCGGGGGGGGGCAACATGCAGGCAGTCCCATGCAAATCTCCGAGCTTTGCCTCTGCTGGGAGCTGAGCAGCTGTGGCTGGGAAGCATGAGCGATGTCCGCACATCCTCGCCACAGGCAGGGAGTATCTGGGAGAGCAAAGCCCTCGGCAAAGGGGAAAGCAGCCCACAATGCCCCCAGCTATGCATCAGACATAGGGCACATCCCAAAAAGTCACGTTGCTTCAAAAAGCTACAATCCTCCAGCATTCCAGCACAGGCCAACATGGACTCGTGTGGCAGAAGCTACTTAGATGTTTTATCCAAGAACAGGGGAGGTGTGAAGACCTACAGGGCCTTCTGCAAGCTGGGCATGGAGCAGATCTCCCCCACACTTCCAGTGAGGGGTTTGAGAAAGCTTTGGGGGAGAAGGAGACATGGCTGCCGCAGGAACCAAGGACTGCTGGGGTAAACCCTCCTCTAGACACATGGGCAAAGCCCCCCGGCCTTGCTGCTGTCCTCAGCAGGGGTCAGGGATGGATGAGCATGATGGAAATATGGAGACAGGACTGAACGTGCCTGTTAGGGAACCGAACCAGGGGTCTCCAGGGAGGTGGGTGGCAGCTTCCATCCAGCCACTGTGTGGGTTAGTTTGTGGCCTCCTGCTGCTGGGCGCTTTGGTATCCCAGCTCCTCCGAAACTAGGGTATTTTAGAGGCGCGACTGCCACTAGCCAGGGGTTAGGAGTGAGGACGCGCAGTCACTAGGGCAGGCTTGCTGCAGCGGCATTTACCTTGTCGTGCTGGTGTTCCTCTATCTGCTTTTGGGTATTTTCCAGCTCTTGTAACAATGTGTTCTTTGAAAAATGAAACAAAAGGGAACAAAAACAGGAGAGAAAAAGAGAGCCCGTTTAGAAAACAGCCATGCGACCTCCCAGGAATGGCCAGTGTGGAATTGCTGCATGGACAGTGTGACGGACACCTGGCAGGAGGGACAGGAATGGCTCCCTGTTCCTTCACCTACCTGCCTGCAAACCACTCTTTGCAAACCTCTTGCTCCTCAAGCAGGGCTGCCATAGCTCCAGTCCTGCACCACACCAGGGCTGGGGAACAGCCATGGAGGGCAAGTGGCGATTAGAGATTTGATGGTCAGGGCTTGAAGATTAGGAAATGCGTCTGAGAGGAGATCAACCCCTTGAACAGCTGCATCAAGGGCAAAAATGTCCCTAAGTTAGGGAATAGGCAGGGGGAAAAGAAGATGTGTTTGCAACTGCCTGACCCACTACTCTGTTCTGGGAGATGCTGGAGCCAAACAGGATCATTTTTGCCTGTGGAAGACCTGAAAAAACTCTCTGGGTGAGCCAGCGCTGGTAGCAGGCTGGGGAGCAGACGATGCCCCTTCACAAGATGCCACTGCTCTGGTCCATGTTCTTTGCTGGGGTGGGAATTTGGACTCATTCTGGGTGAGCCAGTGCTGGCAGCAGGCTGGGGAGCAGATGATGCCCCTTCACAAGATGCCACCGCTCTGGTCCATGTTGTTTGCTGGGGTGGGAATTTGGACTCAGCCCCATGTGTTGGGTCCTGCTCTTTATCCAGAGCCACTCAGACCAACTGCTGAATGACTGGACATGCTGCACAGCCAGAGCTGGTTGTGGACAGGAGGTGCAGAGCAGCAGGGGAGACAGACCCAGTCCTGGAGGCATCAGCAACTCCTCTGTGCTCTGACCTGCTAAGGGGAGTCTGGTCCCTGCAGGAACCCAGAGGTGAATTATCAAGTCCTGACCTCTCACTGGGCATTGTGAGGTTAATTCTTGCTCTGATCCACCTGCTCTCCCAACTAATTGCATCCCTGCTGGGGCAGCAGCAGCTCCAGTTGGCTCCTCAAAGGAAAGCCCTGTTCCCCAGGTGGAGTGGGAGCTGAGAGGCAGATCATGGACTCTGCCCTGACTTGGAGAAGGCAGATCATTCCAGGCTGAGGGACAGGAAGGTTTCAAGGAAGCATATGGAGGGGATGGGCAGGTGGGAGAGGATGATCGCTACGTTTTCTCCTGCAAAATGCAGCAGGGTTTTCTGCTACAGCTGGGCGCAGGCTGCACCAGAAGAGACACAGGGAAGCAAGGGAACGGAGCAGGACAAATCCTGCTGCTGTTGGAAGGGAAAGGTGGTGCAGAGTTGGTCTTACCAGGCAAGGGCTGGCTGGAGGTGAAGGTGCGATGCAGAGCACGCTTCCCTGCACTCCCACCAGCCCCAGCACCAGATGGGCATCCTGCATGGAATCATTTCTCCATCCCTGCACAGGTACTTCCAAACCCTTGTGCTGTGGCTGGCCGAGGCTCTGCGCCGGAGGGGCTGCAGACTCCCAATCCCCCAAGAGGACCCCCTACCCCCTAGCCACTACCTTCTCCTCCAAGGCTGCCATCCTCTCCTTGAGGTGCAGCTGCAGCCGCTCATTGGACTCGCTCAGCAGACGGTCCACGGTGTCCGAGAGACGCTTGTTGTGCTCCTCGTTCATCTTCTCCCGCTGGCGGGCCTGCAACGGCAAACAGCAACTGCCCCGTCAGATCCACCAGGCCTGGTCCCCCTGTCCCGAGGGGCTCAGTGCCCTCCATCTGGCCCCGCTGCTGGTGTCAGAGCCAGCTTTGGGTGAGAAATCCACCCCTTACAGCACAGACTGGACACTCTGTCCTCCAGAGAGGACAGGATCCAAAGATATCCTGCCTGCCTGCCCCTCAGGAAAGCTTCACCTGTACATCTGCCAGGGACAGATACACTGGGGGCACATTCCAGGCCTCAAGGGGTGTGGATCCTCTGGATTTTCAAAGGTCGCTCCAAATGTCTGCCCTAGGCTAATACAACCAGGGCATACGCTGTCATGCCATCTGGGTGACCTGAGAAATGGGTATCACAACCTCCTGTGTGGACAGCACCAGCCACTGGCAAAGGTGCACAGCAGGGATTGTGTGTCCCCTGACACAATGGATATGTCCCTGCCTTCTTGAGGGGCAGCACCCTTTGCTCCCAGCACCCTTCAGTCTCATCCTGTTGCTGATCCAGGCTGGAGGGAAGAGCAGCTGGAGTTTCCCCCTCCACCCTGCACTTGGGTTCCCAGCTTGCCCCAGGAGGTGATGCTGGGAGAGGAGTGGGTGTGACACACTAACAGCAAGACTTGGATGCTTGGGAGAGGGGGAAATCACAGCAGAGTGTCATGAGCTGCTGGATGACTCTAGACGAAGAGATTAACCAGACCCCTCTCCCCATTCTGCTTCAGAGACACCAGTGACCCCATCCTTCATGGTGTGGCCACCATGGCAAGGTGGAGCCAAGGCCGGATCAGGACCTGCAAGGACTCCCTGGTCCAGGCTGAGCAGAGCTTACCCTGGCAAGCTCCTGGTTCTTCTCCTCTAGCTGGCTCTCCAGCTGCCGGAGGTGCTCCTCAATGCTCCCGTGCCTCTCTTCTGCCTGGGAAAAGCAGAGCAGCCCTCTCGGATGATGCTCCCCAAAACCATGAGGGCCATCCTGCACTCCTTACCCCACCCCTGCCTCTACATCCTTTCTTGGGATGCAGCACTCTCTCCCACAGCCTGCATCCTTGTCATGGTTCACACTGTGACATGAGCCCAAAACAGCCCTGCTAGCAAGGTGATGGGAGATGGAGGTGCTCCGTGAGCGACTGGCACCCATTCTAGCAAGAAGGGGGCCATATCCACAACTCCCTCCAGGCCTGCACCCTCCCAGGTCCAGTCTGGGTCCTTCCTCTTCCTCCTCATCCCAGAGTGGTCCCAGTACAATCTGAAGGCTACTCAGATTGATAGGGGCATCTCTACCTTGGAGAAAGGAGCTGAGGGAAGGGAGAAAGCCCCACACATGCAGGACACATCAGGAGCTTTAGAAACTGTGCATTCTCCCTGCAGCCACGGGAGACGCAGAGGACAGCAAGGCTCAGGGGCTGGGAGGCACCCCAGGGTGCCTTGGGCCTTCCAGGGGCTCCATTGCTGCAGTGGGGCAGCCAGATCTGTCTCTTCCCCAGCTTCTGTGCTCTCTCCTGTCCCAGCTGTCCCCAAGTACCCCGCACACTTGCCTTGGTGAGCGCGGCGATGCGCTGGGCCAGCTCTGCTTCCACCTCAGGCAGCGTCTCTGCCTTCCGCATCGTCTGCTGCAGCTTCTGCTCCGCCAGCTCCAGCAGCTCCTGCAGATGCCGGGCTTTCTCCTCACACTGTGGGACGGGACAGGGTGGGTGCCTGGCACCGAGGATTGTCTGTTGTCCCTTCCCCAGCACCTGCTTCTCCCTTCAGAGTCCCTAGGGTGGCAAGGAGTCTTTGGGTCCAAGCGTTGTTACCTGTCGGTGCAGGGACTCCTTGTTGGCCAGCTCGCTTTCCAGCTTGTCATTGAGGTCATGGATGGAGGTGGCTTCTCGCTGGGCTGCCAGGTAGCGTTTCTCCAGTGTGGTGATCCTTTCCTCCATGTCCTCTTTCTGAGCCAGGGCCTGGGGAAGTGATGGGGCTGTGACATCCCGATCTGTGATCACCAATTTGGGAATAACTGGGCCACCCAGCTCCTGCGAACCTGGGATACCCTCAGGTTCGAGCATGCAAGGAAAACCCTGCTCTGCACGGGAATGAGGGACAGCAGAGTGGGAGATGAATAAAGGGAGAGTCAGGCAATCACAGAAAAACCTTCTATCATGGACACAGCTCACTGCCCCAGGGCTGCAGCACACCAGGGTATCTCAGTGTCTGCTTATAACCTCAGGGAGTCCTGCAAATGGACTTGGGACAATCTCCCAAAGGCAGTTGTCTCTGGGGGAACACTGGCCTTCACCCTTCATACAAGAGGGGTTACAATCCCTTCCCAGCCCAGAGCATGTGGAAGTTGCTGTGAATGTCTCTGCAACTGCAACAGGCTTGGCAGTGCGAGAGGGCAGTGGCTAACCTCTCGGAGGTCCCTCTGGTACTTGCTGCTCATCTCCTCCGATTTGATCAGATCCTTCCTGGCGGTGCCCAGATCCTCCTCCAGCTCGGCGACGCTGGCAGCCAACGCAGAGATGCGCTCCTTGGCCTGGACCACTTCGAAATTCTGCTTCTCCAGGAGCTCCTGCAGCTCCACCACCCGCCCTGCCTCATCGTCCGGGTGGACAGAGCCATTGGAGAGCCGCTGCAAGGCAGCAGAGAGGGAGGCGGATGCAAGGCTGCCCCAAAGCATGGGCTGGCATTGCCTGCAGCTACACAGTGGGGGAATATGGCCCTGTAGGAACCCAGGGAGGTGGTGGGGAGTGGGGATGTGGGGTTCTGGGACCCCCTGTCAACAGTCTCTGCTAGCCAGGGATGTGGCTTCTGACAGGCACAATGGAATAGGAATGGCTAGGAGAGCCCATAGGAGCATCCGAGCAGGAGCACGAATTCCCCTCCACTCAGAAATGGCCTGTATTCACTGGGAAGGGCATTTCCCGGCAGGCTGGACCCAGGAGAGAGGGGAAAAAAGTTTTCAGCACTCTGGAGCCAGTGAAAAGGGGGTTGGAGAAACGACGGCCTTGGTGAGCATGGTCAGAGCAGGGGTTTCTGGGGCTCTCACCTTCCAGGGAAGCTTCTGTGCCGGCTCCTTGGGCTCCCTCTCATCCCGCTCACCCGCCGGGGCCTCCTGCGCAGCGCCTTGCTGCAGAGCCGCCACCTGCATGACAACAGGACTTCATGAACGAGAGAAAGCAGATGAGATGAGCTGGTCCGGCCGTGGTGAGGCCAGCCCTGGTGCACCTGGGTCTGTAAGTAGCTTCCTGCTGGCTTCCTCCACCGTCATGTTCAGCTGGGGGACACTGGAGGGATGGGTGAAGAAGCGAGGGGAGGGCAGAGGTGCTGTGAAGGCTCAGCATGGATGGAGGATGAAGCCACATGGACAGAGTGGTGCTTGCTACAGGCACGACAAAAGCCTGAGTCCCAGCAGAAAGGTTTTCCTGGTGAGGCCTCAGAACCCTGAGCATCCCAGGACTCCTTCCCAACTCATTTCCCTAGTTTGCAGCCAGACAGACTCCAAACCCAGTGCAGATATAGCCAGGAGGAGCAGGGGATGAACAATGCCATGACACCCTGCTCTGCCAGGGGAAGATGGGGAGAGGTCCCTGAAAGGTGACCGAAGGCCAGGCACAGCCTTCCCACTGAATGCAGCAAAGTACGGCAAGACACATCCTGGGAACTGGAAAGAGGAGCAAAATTTGGCCAGGCCGAGGCTATAAGGATGGCTCTTTCCTCTTGGCAGTGGTGGCTGAGCACAAACTTCAGGAAGGAAAGCGTGGTTCAGCATCTCCCACATGAACAGGGCTGAAAGTTGGGGACAGAGGAGTCCCCACACCAGGGCCCGAGCAGGGAAGGAAATGGGGGATGCAAGATGGGGTGCTGGGAGCAGCAAGGTTTGGGTACCTGCTGAGGCAGGGGAAATGCCAACAAGCAAAGTCCCTCTCAGCCCCCGCTGCATGATTCAAGTTCAGGTTGCTTTTGTCAGTAAGATGAACATCAAACAGCAAAACAACCCTGAGACAAAAGTTTTCAGGATGCAAGGTTTCCTTAAATACAGGCAAGCCTGTAAATAGCAATTTTAGAATAAAAGCCTTATATTAAACATACCCAAACACCACTTCTCCAATCCGCATGATCATTTGAGGGGAGTATTTCAGCAAATTCAACATGAACTCAAAAATGTAACGCGGAGCAGTCCCAGCTCAGCAGGCGCCCCAGCAAGGGCCCAGGGCAGGCTGCCAAATACCTCTTACCTGCCGATGAGCATCCACGAGCTGCTCCTCCAAGGTTGCCACTCGCTCCAAAGCTGCTCGCAAGCGTTCCCTGACCTGCAGTCATGCGAGGTAACAGGAAAAGCCATTATTTATCCGTGATGAGGGTGCCCAGGATCTAGGCAAGCTCCCATCCCCTTCTGTCTGGCTGACACACAGGCTCAGTTGGATTCACATCCAGGGCACAGGCTCAGGGATGCTCCAGTCCATTGCAAAAGCATGTTGGAGGGGAACAGCCCAGAACAAACTGATTCTTGCAGGACACCCATGGCCAGGGCAGCCTTAAGATGTCTTTTGGCAGAGCAAGGAGCTGCTCAAGGCAAATGAAGCAGGAGGAACAGTATGAGTTGTAATGCAAAGATTGAACCAAGGTGCCAAATGCCAGCGCTCACCACTATCACAGGAGTGACCCAGGAAAGCAAGATCCCCATCCCAAATAGCCTCAAACCCTCAGAATCCACTCGGCAGCCCCAGTGACTCCTAAAATGAGGGTGATGCAGCTTTTGGATACCCAAGACCTTCCTTTTTAGGGACCCCATGTCATCACCCAGATTAACAACAACAAATGGCATCCAGTGGGATGGAGGAAGAGGGTTGGGAGAAGGTCAGGTCTGAGCAGGGGATACTCATGGAGTGAGCCAGGAGAGAGGTCCCAGCAGCCTGTCTCACCTTTTCATCTAGTGCCTTGTGATGCTCAAAGAGTGACTTGAGTGCCTTGAGCACCTCAACCTCACTGGAAACCCCGGATGGCGACTGGGCCTGACGCTTGACCACGGTCATCCTCAGGGACCGCTCATGCCTCGACACCAGGCACTCCAGGTGCTCCAGCAAGAGCTGCAAGAGGGCAAGCATGAGGCTTTCACCACAGCCGGGGTTGGTGATGCCGATATCGGCCCAGGAGCCTGCAGTGTCACACATTTCTGGGAACTGAAAGCCAGACAGCTGGTTTTATAAGCTTACCCGGGTGTTATTGCGCTCAGCTTTCAGCTCCGAGATCTCCTCTTCCCTCTCCAGGAGCTGTTCCCGACATGCACTGAGCTCCCGCGTCAGCGTTGCAAACTCCTGCAGAAATCAGAGCATGGCCATGAGCAGGGAGAGAGGGATGGAGATGGAGCCAGTGTCCCGGCCCCACTGCTGGGTACTCTAGACCAGAGCATTTCCATCCAAACTCAACCAGTGAGAGATGGGGATGGCAAGGGGAACACTGAGAAATCAGCGGAGAAGCACAGTCAGGAGGTGATCTGTTCCTGGCTTCCCTCAGTGCTTTGGACAAGGAAGAACACAGCGTCCCAGTATTTATCCATTTGGCTTGAGGTCCAACAACACAAGAAACTGCTCTACAGCTCCAGAGGTGCTCAACAGAATTTAAAGCATCCTAATAAAGGCCACCAGCATGCTCCCATCCCCACCAGATGCAACCCAGCAGAGCACCCACCTTAGAGCATCCCATCCAGCTCAAACTCACAGCAAAGCCACAGCCAGACATGACAGGTCCCCTGGCCCCACACCAGCCTCTGCCATGGCCTCAGGACCTGCCACCATCCAAAATCACCTTTCTAAACAGCAAGATCTGCCCCAGTCTGGTATGTGGGGCCCCATCAAGCTTCTTGTGGGGCACCAAGCCAAGAATCCCAGCTGAGAGAGATGGGGCACAGCAGGAGAGGTGTCAGGTGCCCCCAGCCCTTGCTGCAGTCAGTGCTCACTCCGGGGAGGTGACAGCCAGCAAGGAAGAGCCGTGCACAGAGAGAGGCCAAAGCAGAGCTGCAAAGCCTGCACATCTTTTGGGATATGGTGGGCTGCCCAGAAACAGACCAATCGCACTTGTGACTGTGTTGGAGGGGAAAGAAAACCCACCATGAAGCTGCTAGGATGCAGGAGAGTTCATTTTCCTTTAAAAAGTGAAAATCCAGCACTCAGTTAATCCCAGGAGCACCCTCCCATTGCTCCCAGTTGTTCTTTCCGTCGCCAAGAGGTGCCAGGATTAAGCAACATTTTGCAGCTGGCATTTTCTGGGGTGAAAAATGCAAATGAGGATGTGCTTCATGAACTGACACCAGTTTCACAGTGTTGTTGAGAAGAACTTAAAAAGGAAAAGGGTTTCAGAAGAAGCTGAGAAGGATTTGATTGAGCATTAACAAACCAAATTTTGACTGGGGGCTGAGAGTGGTTTTCCATCATGAAATTCTCATTCATTTTAATTTCCAAGTTAAACAAATAAAAACCCTTCAAACTGCAAAACGCTGAAGCTGAATCAAATGCTTTGCTCAGCTCAAAGCAAAACCCCTTGCAACAGCTGATGTTCCTCCAAGAAATCAAGAGCTTTGTAATCTCTGTGCCAACTGGATTTTCCCTCTCCCTTCCCACCCCAAACTGCTTGCACTGCTGTGGTTTCTAGCCTGGGTTTGGTGGGGACGCTGGTGTTACCGGTGATGCCGAGACCCCACTGCCAGACAGGACCTGAGCATGCTACAATGCGGAGGAAGAGAACGAATGATTGCAGCGGTCAAGTCAGTCATCATCCCTGTGAACAGCTGCTTTTCTGCCCATCACCATGCCGCAGGGCTGCTGCCACCCAGCATCCTCACCACAGCATCATTTCAGGGCCTGAATCCCTGCTGCTCCTTTCCAGCCCCACTCCTGCCCCATCGCTTCCCCAGGGACCACTTCATCCCTGGGGTCATCCCTGTCCCCATCAGTTGTCCCCCAAATTGGTCTCAGCCCCCCAAACCTCCATCACCAGCCCCAGGCACACCCCACGCTTGCTGCACTCAGACCATCCCACAGCCCCCGAAGCCCAGAGCATCCCACTGCAGATCACTGTGCCAGCCAAGCCTTTCCCGGAGCCGTGCTCTTCCCGGCAGTGGGGATTAAGGGCTGGCACAGCACAGCAGCACACGCGTGTGTGTGCGCACCACTGCGTTATGCAAGCTCTGCGTGCAGGAGTGAGTTGCTCGTGATCATCCCCATGGATTATAGCAGGGCTGGGAATGCTGATGAGCAGAAAACATGGGAGAGCAGCAGCGAGACGTGCCAGATTAGGTGCCCGTGCACTGCTAGCTGCTGCAGATTTAGGGATGTGTCACTGCCCCTGTCCCTCATTATGGCAGGAGACAGGCAGCAAGGCTTAAGGAGCTTGTGAAAAGCATCCTCACAGCCACGATGGCCCCAGGAATATCCTTCTGCAGCCCAAGCTACAATGGCAGGTGACACACTGGCTGTGGACTCTCAGCACCAGGGCAGGGGCCCTGTGGATCCAACCTCCCAGATCTGCAAAGGGTGGAAAGCTCTTGCTCTGCCACTTAGCTGGGAGGGGAAGCTGGGGCTACGGATGTGGATGCTCTCTCCACTGGGTGAGCAGGGCTATGTGCAGCATGGGATGACTGGGACAAGGCACTGGAGGCAGCAAGGGAAGAGGGATGTCATGCTGGGGACAGTGATCACCAGCACTCAGGCCTCCTCACCCTGCGCTGCCTGCACTGCCCGCCTGGCTGGCCGAACTGTACAGATTGCACCCACAATCTGGCTTTCATCCTGAAAGGCAAGGAGATTAAAAGAGGGAAAATCCACTGCAGAGAGATGGGCAGCCCCACCCCAGCCAGCGCCTGCAATTCGTGGGTCAGCGGGTCAAAGTGTGGCAGTGGCTGCACTCCTGGGCATAGCACAAAGTTCCTGCCCCCCACCCAGACCCCAGGGTTCTCCTCTCCAAGCCCTAAAAAAATGCCTGGCTGGATCCTGCGTGCCCCAGCAAGGCTGCCAGGTCAGGAGCATCCCAAGGCAAACAAGAGATCACGATAACTTTCCTTCCTTGGGGAATGGCTGCAAAAAGGAGCATTTACCACCAAAGATAGCAACACTCCTGCAGCGAGATGGACAGCAGTAGGGGTTAGCTGAGTACATGGGCTGGGGGCACTTGCAAGCCTGATTTTGATGCTTTGGGAGCAGAAATATAGAAATAAATCACTTCAGCACCTGCCTGTAGCTACCCCGATCAGCCGCAGCTGTGCTAGACTTCTGCCCTGGCTCTGCCACCTCGGTTCTGGGCCACTGGTGGGTACCAGGTGAGTTTGGGGACCATGAGGACAAGTTGTCCCCAGCTCCCAGCTGCAGTGCCACACAGGAGCATAGCTTTCACCCCCACCTGCAGGTATGCCATTGCCCAAAGTCCCAGGGAAGTGTCGATAAAGAGGATCTGGATAATTTTCCTCTGCCCTGGCCAGGAGTCTTCCAGGAGATGCAGAGGTGTCTGCCCCGGCACTGATAAGCTCTCAAACTAAGCAGGGACACCTATAAACAGATTAGAAAGTGAAGGAGAGGTGCCTGATCTTCTATCAAAGGATAAGACGCAGCCCTAGGAGTCCTTGGGAGCCCTGCGGGAAGCCCAACAGCCCAGGAAGTGGCTAATTTGGATTAAAACCAAACCAGCATGGGCTGGTTAAGAGCCAGGGCAGGAAGAAGCAGCATGGACAGATGCTATTTTCACCGTTGGAGCAGGGAGTGAGACCCAGAACAGCACACAAGGTATTGACACAGGGCGTTTTGGCTCAGGGCTTGGATTTTCAGTCAGCACCAGGCATATTTGGGGTTCAGGGTCTTCCTCCTTGGCTGCATCAGTGGTGAAAGCTGAGGGAAGAGCTGGAGGGAGGCCAGAAACCAGCTACATGGAGACAGCTGGAAAGGCAAGGAGAGGTTGAGGAAGCTCAGGGGGTGAAGTCTCATAGTATGAAAAAGCTGAATTGCAGAAGTCCTCAGCCCAGAGCCATCTTCTGCCTTTCCCCGTGCCATCCGCAGCACAGAGAGGGATGCAGTGAGACTGCTCCAAAGCAAGAATTCCCCTGTTTGTGGCAGAAGTGTGGCCACCGCTCCTGAGCCTCAGGAACAAACTGGCTCCAGTTGTGGGATTAATGGCATTTGAAAGTCCCTGATGGGAGTGATTGCTCCTGATGGGCCAGTGTGACGGAAGGTGATGTGGGAAGAATGCCCACACGGAGAAATCAGCACTGCTGACTCAGCACGTGAGGGATCCATCCGTTTGTCCACACTGGGAGTTGGCAGACCCATCACCTCAGTCCCTCCTTGCTGTCCCTGGAGCAGGGCAGAATTACAAGAAAGCCCCAAGACTGTCGCGGGGACAAACACAACCCTGGCAGTGCGTAGCACAGGATTACAGAGATGGTTTCGACCAGGGCTTCGACCATCACCCACCCTCAGCGCAGAGCAGTGCGGTGGCACATCCTAGACCTCAGCACCATGACTCTGCAGGGACCATCCATGGGGAATTGGTATCCTCCCCTCCCAACATGTGGTCACAATGTGTATTTCTAACCAGGATTGCTCCAGAAAGAGCATTCTGCAGCCAAGCAAGCAGGAATCCAACATCTCAAGACTCTGGTCTTCTGGGAGGGTGGCCAGCTCCAAGGGTTCAGTGCTGAACCATCGGACCATCATCCTTCCCCAAAATCTTGAGACACTTCAAAGGTCTCACCCAGTGGGTATTTTCCTCCAGTTTGGAGCTGCTGGAGTTCCTATTTTCATGCTGCTTTTTGCAAGTGGTAACTCTAGATATATTTTTAAGCTAAAACGGGGGGAATTTGGGGTGATAACACCAGAACCCTCCACAGCTTCTGGGGGGACTCCAGGGAGCTTAGGGAGTCTTAGGGGGTCTGACCACCCCAAGAAGCTGCAAAAAGCAGCAAAGACACAGCAGAGCAGGGCCTGGAAGGAAGAACTGTGGGAGGGTTCCGTGACCATCGGTAGCCCTCAGCACAGCAGCCCATGTGAAATGTGGGAGCCTTTTCTCCCCTGACACAGCTGGGGACATAGACTCCTGCCAAACCCGCAGGCCCTGGCAGGGCAGGAAGAAGTGCCATCCCACGTAGGACCCTGCCCGCACTGGGAACACATCTGAATATACCTGGAGTCCTGCATGTTGCATCTCTGGGCACCTACGCCCAGGATAGCAGAGAATGAGCTAAGCTGAGCAGCCAGGCAGGTGGGAGCAATTGTGCCAGGGCCCCGGGGGGCTGCTGAGAGCACCCAGACCCTGCCCAGGGCTTGGCCCTCAGCTGCACACCCCTTGTGCAAGCAGGGAGGGCAGAGGGATTGGAGCCGAGAGCTTTCAGCCCGATTAAGTCGCGTTCAGCGCTCCCACATGAATAAATAAATCATGTAAGAAGCATTAAGGCAGCTTAGTTTCCCCGGGAAATCACCCTGGAGTTCTGCCTTTTGGGGTCTGAGGGATGCCCCCATGGATTAGGGGGGGAGCAGCTTGTCCACGTGGCAGCCAAGTCCTACAAAAGCAAGGGGGAGTGGGAGCTACAGGCAGGAGCATCCCTGGAGCATCCCTGCCTGCCCCATGCAGGGTTTTGTCCCAGACACAAAAATTTCCTGTTTGCCCCATCAATGGCTCTGCCAGCACTCTGGATCCCATGCTGACACAGCGGCATCCAGCTGCCACTGTGCCCTGAACACAGGCAGAGTGCCACGTCCTCCAGCCACCATCTACCCAATCCTCTCAGGCAGCACGTCCTCGCGGCAGCCAGCCCTTGGCTCTTCAGTGACACTGGAAGGGCTGCCAGACTCATGGATGGCCACCAGTGGGGTGACCAACTCTGCCCCAAAGGAAGGGTTTCTTCAAGCAACCCAGCATGAATCCCATCCCAATGGTGTCTGACACGCTGCAATAAGCCCCTGGGCAAAAGGGCCCACAGAGAAGGAGGGAGAGGATGGGACAGACCCATGGAAAGCCCACACACAGCACTCCAGGGAAGAGACCCACCACATCCCACTTACCTGGTACATGCACATGCTGGGATTAATCCCATTGGGCAGGTGAGTGCCTCTGGGTTTGCTCCCCACGTTCATGCTGAGCCCTCATCTCCCACGAGGGTGGCCGGTGCAGCCTCGAGGGCAAGCGGCACAGTGGGCACCAGGGGCCGCCGTGCCCGTGTGCAGAGCCCCCCTGCCCGCACAGGGACAGACAGGGCAGCGGGAGGCAGCGGGAGCTCCGGGAAATTCCCCATCTGCTGCCCACCCTAATCACATCCCTCACCAGGCTGCAGGGAGCCGGAGGCAGCCCCAGTGGGAGTAGGGCACCCAGCGAGCTCGTGGGTGCCGAGCTGCCACCAAGCCCCTTTGCGCTGACCCGGTTTGCTCCGTCTGCCAAGGCACCGAGGACCCTTTATTGGAGCAGGAGCGGAGACTAAATCCGCGCAGTCCCTTAATCCGAGGCGGCAGCAGCAGGGCGGGCAATGCGCGCTCGGGGTGACCTGGCTTGCTCTCTCCAGTGCATGCTGGCTGGGGAGGTGGAAGCAAAGGGGACACGAGCCCCCGGCACGTGTGAGGCGGTGGTGGCCCTGTCTGCACCCAACACTTGGGCACGTCTCAGTGCCTCACTGAGGACAGGGAGCAATTTATCCACAGGGACCCCAGGAGCTCCCAGGGAAGCACTGTTGGGTTTTTTGCTTGCAGCAGCCCAGGCAGAACCAGGACCAGCTCAGTTCTGTGCACCGGGACATGGGCTGCCTTCCTCCCAAGCTGATTTCCCCCATCCAGAGTGGAGGAGGGACACAGAGGTGGCCGACCAACAGCACAAGCTCTGTCCTGCCTTGTGCCACCAGTTTTGATCCATTGGTCATTTCCCATCTCCCTAGGGTGCCCCAAACCCCAGCGCCCAGGCAAGGAGGTTGTAAGGTCTCAGCACAGTCAGAATGGATATAAATGTTCCAAGCCTCCTGCTTCCCCTGGCTGCTGGGCTCCTCCCACATCACAGCCACAATGGAACAGTGCAAAAGGCCCCCAAATCCTGCCTCCCCAAGTCCAGGCCCTGGGACACTGTGTGCTGCCCCACAGGACCCCACAGGGAAGGTGGGCAGTTCGGATCCACCCCATGCAGCACTAAGATGCTGATCAACCCCCATCCTCTTCTGACCTGAGCATCTTTCTTTGTGAAGTCCAAGCTCAAGTCCAGGTCTCTCGAGTACGTGGAGTGGGTCCTGCAGGTGGAGGAGCCAGGAGCAGAGCCACAACAGAAAGACCAGTGGAGCCATGGCAAGCCCCATTCCCCCGTGCCCTGGGCTGCTTGCTGAGCACAGACCTCTGTCCGCCTCCTTGCCTGTTCCCGGTCTGCTCCAGCTCAGGAGCTGGGTCCATTCCAGCTCCATCCCAATCCCTACTCTGCACCCCGCTCTTTCTTCAGCATCCCCTCTCAAGATCAAGCTTGAGACAAAGAAAGTTTCATCACCCCATCAGGTGATGGGGCGGATGGGAAGGAGCCCTCCCAGCGAGGGGAGGGGGGCTTCCCTCCAGCAGTGGGGAAAGAACATGGTTAATGTTCCTGTTTGGGGAATCTCTAAGTGCCAGAATGAACTCATGAAACCGAGGACTTCCCAACATCCAAAGAAGCCAGCTGTAGGCACCAAGCCAGATCTGCTACCCAAAAGGTGCTCTCTGCTCCCCGAGCACTGGTCAGTGCCAATGGCCGGGTACGGGATCTGTGTCTGCCTTGCTGTCACTCTGAGGTGTCCTCAGGAAGGGTTTGCCCCTTCTTCATACCCATTTCCCTGTGCAACCAGGGGATCTGCAGTCCCACACCTCCCCGCATGGACTCACAGACTGATGTGGGGTACAGAGAAGAAGGGGAGATGTCCAAGCTGGTTGTGGCTACACAAGAGAGAACCTACCAGTTTTACTACTGACACAAGGAGCAACCCAGGTGGTGCAATGACCGCTATCACCCCCAAGGTCAACCTTCCTAAAGGGGTGAGCTAAAAATCACATCCAAGCGGCTCATCACCTTCATATGCCTCAACGACGGCTCTTGCTCATCCCAGGGCCAAATCCTTACCTGTGGGAGGGCTGAGTTGAGCTGCCTCTGGAGCTGGTCACGCTCCCGCAGGGTCTCCTGCAAGCGGCTCTGGGTGACAGAGAGTGTCTCGCGGGTCTCCCGCAGGGTGTCCAGCAGCTTGTCCCTCTCATCCAGCATGTTCACCATCAGCTGCTCAAAGTCGGCGTCCGCCTCGGAGCCCTGGGGGGGACCCAGAGGGTCCCCCTCGCTTATGGTGGGCATCACCTCGCACATCATGGCGGGGTGCAATGGGTAGGTGAGAGTCCTGAAGGTACTCGGTGGGGCGGGCGGTGGGAGCTGTTGAGCCACACAGCCCTGATCACATGGCTACAGGCTCCCGTGGGTCAGGGGAGCCAGCATGGGAGGAGGCAATGGGGTGGCAAAGGTGTGGAGAATCCCCCATCCTTCCTACTTGGGTGCTAAGCAGAAGCTGGCATCACTCTGGTGCAGATGAAGGGACGTCCTTGGCACTGACAAAGCCCTCACAGTCTTGTATTCCCCCGCCCAGCTGCTTGTCAGTGCCAGGGCCCCTTGCGTCACCTCTCTAATACTTTTCCGTGGGGCTGCAGCATCAGTGGGCCACGGGGGTGTTCAGAGGGGGACAAAGAAACCCTTGAAGACTTGTCCAAATGGGGAGCCCAAGCTGGTAGCAGCACAGAGAGGGTCTGGGGGATATTTGGGCTGCCCAGTCATGCTGAAAAGTCCAGTGACAGTGTGACAGTCCTATTCTCCCCAAGGCTGGATGAGATGGTCACTGCTGCTGCGGGAACGTGTCTCCGTCTGGCATCACAGCTCTTCAAACACACAGTGGTGACCTACAGGAGAGGGGACAGAGATCAGAACCTTCCTGCTGCCCCCAAAATGCCCAGGGCACCTGCCCAAAACCCTTTGCCCCCATCAAACCCTGGATGGCTCAGGAACGGGCTGTACCAGGCTGTGCCACCCTGTACTCATGTGGTCACTACGCTGCATCCAGTATGGTACCGAGGTACAGGGAACAGCATCCCTGGAGCCAAACTCCTGCAATAGTCTTTGGCATTCCCATATCCTGGGCCAAGATCCTGTCCCCTCTGCTGAATGCCTTGCTGCCAAGGGACCCATGGCCCAAGTGTCCTCCAGCTGCAGCAACTCTCCTTTTGCAGAAAATCACACTCAAACCTGAGTCTGGCCCAAACCTGGCATGAAGTCACAGCAGTAAATGAGCTGAATGATCACATTAATGCTCACTCCCCTCCCTTCAGCACCAACTGGGACAGATGCAGTGGGACCGGCCGTTCTGTGTTAACTGAACTTCAGCACACCCTCCATCAGTCAAACCTCTACTCAGGGGATGCAGCAGGATCCCCGAATTACCGCCCAAGCACGGTTCCCCAGCTGGGAGGAGAAGCTGGAGGGCAGAGGCAGAGCTCTCAGTTTGGGCAGCAGCCTGGATTTAGGCTGGATTAAAGCACGAGTGGACCCAGAGACTTGATTAAAGCATGGGTGGACCCAGAGACTTGACCCCAGGGATAATGCTGGTACTTGCAGCCTCACCACTTCTGCAGCCCAAAATACCATGTGAGAGGCTGGGATGTCCCTCATCCCAGCTGCCAATGACATGCCAGACAGGGATTTTTGGTGACACAGACCTTCAGGTGAGCTTCAGCCCACGACAGCCAGATGAGGGCTCCCAGCAGCAGGGGTTGGTGTGCCACCATCACCCTGGTTGCCCTGGGGACCTCCCCACCCCATATTGCCAGGCTTCATCTGCAAGGGGATAAGCTCAGTGTGAGGAACACTTGGTGTAACGTTGGTTATGGGACAGTCCCCCTTAGCAAGTTTTTAAATCTTTACAACAGGTAGAATGCTGGAGGCTAGGTCAGAACATCCCTCTTTCAAACCCACATATACACACGGACAAAAAGGACCTGCATCGGCCCACTCTGGCCCTTTGGACTGGAATAAAAGCTCCTGTCTCCAGCAGCTTGGCGGCACCGCGGGGCACTTCTCCCCTGTTCAAAGGTGACGTGCGTAAGGAGATGCTTTTGTAGCGCCCAGACACACAGACACATGCTGCTGGGGCTGGGGGAACCATAGCTCCGTTCTTGGGATGACATTGGCTCATCAGCTGGTGGGAAGTTTGACACAAAAAACTCTCTAAAAATAGAGAGGCTCTGGCAAAAGCACCGGCCCCTCAATGCACATCCATCGCGTTACCCTGAAAGCCGGCTCCCACACGCTGAGGACGGGGGACAGGGTGTCCCACAAGTGTCTGTCCCCCCTCCTCCCCCATTATGGATTTAAGTTGCATTCCTCAAGTGGGATAAAACCTGTTACAGGCACATAACGCTATCTTGAACCTTCGAGCCTTGCTCATGCTCCTTCCTGGCTGTGGGGATATGGATAATGGGATAACTGACTGATGTGCTGGCCCTGCGGCATCCCTGCAAAAAGGAGTCTGGCGAACAAAAAGGCACAGAGGAGGGACCACTCCAGCCCCCTGCTCTCCTTGCGTCAAGTTGGACATGAACCCTGTTCCAATAATTAAGCAGGTGCAATGTTTTCCAGTCCTCTTTCCCCTAATTAGCAGCCCCTGAGTATGGCCATGCTGCAAGGCTCCTGGAGCACACATGCCCCAGGCTCTAGGGAGACTCGGGGCGAAGAAGAGCAGAAATTAGCCTTACCCCAGGGCTAAGCCCTATTAATTTGGGTGCAAAACCCAAACGAGGGGACTTCTATGCCTCATCTTGCTGCTGTGCCTCTGCTTGTGGGAAGAGCAGGGAGGAAGCAAGCCAGACGGCCCCAGGAGTACGATATGAATGGCAAAATCAGCCACGTGGCCATGTCCCCGCCCTGCTGCTGTTGAGGAATTGAATGAATTAGCAGGTGAATTAAAATATATCAACCCAGGCAGGGAGGAATGAGCCCTGCAGGCACTCAGGGAGGGGAAATGCTGCAGGGAATGGCCAAGACATAAATCTGACAGGAGTGATAATGGGATGGAAATTTATCCCAGCTGCAAAGGGAGACTTGCTTACCACAAGGAGAGTCTGCGGATGCCAGACCCAGCGGGGTTGTGGCAGCTCCCCACACCCCACGCAGGTAATCCAAGGGGCTGGACCCACGTGGTGCAGGAAGAGGCACAGATTTACCCCCTGCATCACCCAAGGGCTAATTTTCTTTTTGCTTCCCCCTCCTAGTTTGAGTCCATGCATGGGTGGCTGGGGTGGTTTGAGTAAACCTTTGCGCTACTTTGCTTCACGGCAACCTGCTCCTGCACACAGTTATATCATGTTATATCTGCCGTGCCTGGGAAGGGAGGCTGGGTGTGAGAAGCACAGCCGGGACACCTCAGCCTGCGGAGGGTGATCACAGGATCACAGGGACCTTGCACAGCATCAATGCTGGTCCAGGAGAGACTCATCTCATCTCACAGGTCCCCAAAAGCAACCAAGATCTGCCCTCCTGAGCACACTCAGCAAAGATGATACAGCATAAAACTGTCCACCCAGGACAAAGCAACGCACAGTGACTGAAAGCTCCTCCACACCCAGGGCTTGGGGGATATCTTCATTGGAGGGTGCTCACATTCTCCCCTTTCGTCCCAGGGCACCAGGCATGGGTGCCACGGAGAATAACGCTGTGGCATAAGGCAAGGAGAGCTGCTCCAATCTTCTGCAGCTGGAGAAGTACTACAAGCAGGGACAAGACTTCCTACCACCATGAAGAACAGCCGCGTCCCTCCTCGTCCTGGCCTGAAGCCCCCAAGCAGGGGTTGGGCAGCCAGCCCAGGGCTTTCAGGCATCTTCACACTCCCCCACGGCACCGCACATCACAAGCATCCCTCCACCAGTAGGGTCCTGGCAGGTAAATCCATGCTGATGCTTTGCCACCTCTGTGCGTGACTCTGGAAACACATCAGCCACCTGTACCCATTCCTGGCTGAGAGCACAGCAGACCCCAAGAGTGGAAACCTGCCTGCGCTGCGGAGGTACTGGTCACATCCATAACTGCTATGGAGAGACACTGAGCTGCCTCTACTTGTCCCCTCTGCAAAGCTGTCCCACCACCAACCACTGGGCAACCCTCCTACCCAACGGACTTGGGAGTGACCATTTCTGGACTCAACCACAGCAGCTTCCGCTGCAACACCAGAGCAAACCGCAAGCCCCAGAGTTGCCCATCTAATGGGAAGGACCATCATCCAAGGACACGGTGGTTGCAAAACTTTTATTTGTGATGCCAGGGGAGGAAGCCTGGCTGGGTTTGATCCCTGCTGCCTTCAAGCCTTCTGGAGCGTATGTTTGGCGAGCAACAGGCATGGGTGAGCATGCAGGGCTGTGTGCACACAGGAATACACACATGCAGCAACACCCACGCATGCAGGGACATGCATATGAGTAGAGATGTTCATGGGTGCAAGGATGCACACGCATGCAGGGACGTGTGTGCAGGAAGCTCCTGTCAAGGGTCAGCTCCCCTTGCCACGAGCATCCCTTCATTTCTGTACCACCTCAAACCTTGGGATTTTCTCCAAAAGCAGCAGAAAATCACCCATTCCCATGCAGCCTTCCCCTCAGAAGCCCAGCTGGGGGTGCATACACATCCCTGACTAGCAAAGCTCAGCGCTTTTTCAGCAATCCCACACCCACAACCAGTCACTTCTAAGGACCTTGGAGATGTCAGTGTCTTTGACAGCCCAAATGCATCACACACTTTGCTGGTGACTTCAGCAGCAGCGAGGGCAGGCCGACAGCAGCCCTTCAGCCCTGGATGTCGGAGGTTTCTGAGTTTGCTCACAATTAGCAGCAAAACACTGGCTGTGAATCTCAACCTTTCAACTGTGTCTGGTAAAACTACATAAATGCTACTGCCTGGGTTTCAAGGGCCTTATCTGATGGGATAATCATTGGGTAGAGGAGTGAGAATGCACGGAGACAGCTGGTAAGCTGAGAAAACAGACACTGCGTAGCTCTAGCCCTTTGCTGGGTATTTTTAGTCCCACGGGGCTGCCAGGCACAGACTTGCTGGAAGCAGGTTTGTTGCCAGTGAAAGCGTGCTTGCTTTACTATCCCTTCCCCTGCCCCAAAATACTGGGGCAGTATTTTTCCCCACTCTTTGGCATGTAAAACCGCGCAATCACACGCTGCCCACTCGGAGGGGCCAGTTTGCAAGACGGTGCGCAGAGGTGGAGCAGCTGATGGAGAGCAGAGGGGGTTTTTTTGCCCTTGAGCTGATTTGTTCAGCATGACTCTATA